AGCATTTCCTGCTTATCCTCAGCACTCATGGTGGCAGGCAGATCCCTAGCACCACCTAAGGCCTTGTAACACTTTTGGTTCACCAATACAGCCTTCATTTTTTTCCTCTACATATTGAAGTCTCCTTTGCCATCGTATTTCTTTACCTCCACGCGTGCAGTGCCCATCTTGATGAATTCCAGCGACCAAGACAGCAACAAGAACATACGTAATACAAGAAAGAAGGGGAGAGCGGAAAAAATAACAGATAATGATCTTGATATAAAGAACTTAAAAACAGTAGTAATTGCAGAAACAAAATGAAGAATGCAATAAACAATTGCAAGAACGAAAGCAATCAACTTGTAGCAGCAATTACAAAGCACAGATACAGGTAAAAGAGACACGCAACCTAAGCTCTACATACCAATTGTTGAAATTACAGTGGAAGAAATTGGTTTCTGTAAACAGTTTAAAAGTAAAGAGAGAAAATCACACATATGATTTTTACTTGTTCAGAAACTTGTGTTACCAAGTTTCCTACGTCAAGGATCAATCAGGGAGTCCACTCCCTAGTACTTGCACTATGAAAAATAGAAAGAAAAAGGATACACAATATTCAGTTCAAGCTAAAGTACCAAATCCCCCAAGAAAATCCCTAAAGCCCCAAATATTAGACATACCAAATCAAGAAACCAAATATAGTCATGCTACTACAAACACAATAGCATAGCGATTCACACACGCAAATGCTTATGTTACCAGGAATCCACAACACAAGAGCATTTTCTTCTTGCACCACGTGGAGCTCCTTAAATGAACCAACCCTGAATCTGTCCTCTTCAAGAACACCACCAATAAGACGATTGGAACCTGCAATCACAGCAGAAATAACAAATAGAAGAGAACCAATCCAGAAAATAACCAGAAGCAAGATAAAAAAGGTCACAATGGGTTTCGAATGAAAAACCCTATTAGAGCTTCTTCACAAGGAATATAGAAAACTGAATATTGTAAACAAGAGAGAGCAAATCGATTATTGAATTATAGTGAATGACAATCAGATTTAATATAATGGCTGAAACGCAACGTTTTTAGTAAATGATGCAATAAGACTAAATTACCCATAAACTAGTAAACATGACAGTAAAATATCCTAAGGCTACATATAAAATACACACATATGCATATAACAACCACCATTCAAATGCTTTCTGAGTGAATAAATTCCAGCGGCCAATGAAAGAGACGAAAAAAGCCACTAAAGTTCCCTTCTATTACATATCAAACCTAAAGTGATTTCATCTCTATTTACAAAAAATAAAAATAAAGTGACTTCATCTTTTACGGATCCCCATTTTCAGAATTTCTTATTCTTTCTTTCACCGCGCAGATGCCGAAGTGGGCAACTCGTCTTGTCCTGTCCCGTCTCATTCTTCCCTTCTATCAATACGTCAAAAAATAAGTCAATCCATTTTGTCTGGCTTTTGAAAATGGGTTGAAAACCTCATTCCGTCTCGCCCTACTTTTAACAGTTGTAAAGTGAAAGTTCAAAAAAAAAAAAAATACAGGTTAGGAGGGTTGATAGATTAGGCAAAACGAGTCAAGTGGATTAGCGGATTGTAAAACATAACTCACCCGCCCCATTGGAGGGGGGAGGTTGGTCTGCCAAGCCAAACTCGTTTTGCCATCTCTTAGGTTCGATAAATCAAACTAAAAAAACAAGTTTAATTTAATGTACAAGGTTGTTTAAGTGAGCATAGCAAATTTGTTATGGCTTCTTTTATAGAGGAGGGATATTCTCACTACCAAAATTTTTTACTACGTACCAACTTACTACCTATCTAATCATCGTTAGATTAACATTTTCTCTCTCTTCAAAAATATTTTAACATTCTCTCTCTTTGATCCAATGATGATGTGATGAGTAGTAAGTTAGTAGTAATAATTTTTAGTAGTTAGAATATCCTTAGTCTCCTTTATAAAGGAAATATTTTTGTATGTTACTGCAAATTTAAATGCATCTGCAGCTTACTCAAAACTACAAATGGATCCCATCATTAATTATTTTCTTTCTCCTTATTTTTCTTTTTCCTCTGATTTATGAGTCAGCTGTGTATAAGTTTCGGTTTATAGTAACATAAGAAACTCTTTTTCCTCTTTATAAATGCAATAAGTTGTGAGAATAGCATCATAAATAACGACAGTTATTTTATCAGTTTACAGGTTAATTAGAATTTACAAAAAATTATAAATTAATTAATAACAATGTTGACAGCGGCCATGTTACTGGTACCCTAATTACGGGTACCAAAAAAAATTCCCAAAACAAAAGTAAGGTTAAATGTATAAAAAATTAATCAAAATAAATGCAATAATTTAATTTAATGCATAATCCTTTTAAAAATTTTATGGATTTATACTTTAGATTTTAATGTTTCTCATATCGTAAGAAATAAATATATCTTCTATATATTCATAAAAGTATATTATGTTCATATTTTTTTTTCTTATATATATATGAGTCAACATAGTTTTATGTATATATAAAAAATAAATTTATTTCCTATAATATTAAAAAGGTAAAGTATATGTCATTTTAAAGATGTAAGGTTGTGTCATTTTAAAAGAGAGAAAGAGATAGATAAAAGAAGGGAGAAAATTGACAAAAAAAATAAATAAAGGTGTAGATCTTATCTTTTTATGAAAATAAAATGATATAAATTATGTCATTTAAAATGATAAACATTTTTCCGATGTTAAAAACAGTAAATCTTTACACTTTATCGAAAAACATGAATTCTTGGCTACACAAAATGTGGGGGTCTTGTACCCTTTCTTCATCTTGATATAGCCATATGACAACGAAGCAATCGTAAAAAACGGAAATCTCTACAACACTTCTTTGAGCTACAAAGGTGTCGTGTTCCAATTGGCCGAGTACCTACGTATGCAACACTGACGTGGCAAAGAGCCATTAGGGTTCTGAAACGTGGCTAAGCTCAGTGGGAATGGACACAGGTCATAATAATATCTGAAGGTCCAACAGCATCTAGGGTAAAGTTGCAAAAGGCTTAAAGTAGCAATTGGCTTGTAGATGGGATTGAAGTGACTCTCTGACTGGGAATCGATCACCAAGAAAGAAGACATTGTAAACCAAATTGAAAACAAACGGCAAACACTTTAATGGCTATTATGATTGAAAATGAAGCTTATGTTAAAATTCTGCACACCTTGCTCGACACGTGTTAATGTCCCCATTTATTTTCTTCGTAAGTGAAAACACTTGACATTGCTTCACACCCTGTCTCTACCTGTCAGAGTGGATGAATTCAAAAGAAAAAAAAGCTTCATCATGAAAAGGAGAAAATCCAAGGTTACCATTTTGTGGCATACACATTACCCAGATGAATTATTTTTTTTATACTTTTCCTTTTTCAGTCCTTTTATTTGCTCTAACACTTAGTACATAGAAACAACCACCAAAATGTCACCTTAATTTTGGTAAAAAAAATAAATTCAAAATATCATATTTGGAAAAATATTTTTCAATTTGTCACGCCTAAAGCCATCTTACCTAGTCAATCGGACTCGTGTCCAGTGATCAAAGTGTCATTGTTTATCAATTTTTTTATCTAAATGCCACGCGAACAGTCTTATTTTTCAATCTGTCACGTGGGCAAGTTTGTTACCCGGTATAGCGAACTCGGTTTGCTGACGTGTCACATTTCTAGTGGATAACAAGTACCAAATTAAAAAAAAAAAAGTTTGAAGGTCGCTACATAGGGTAACGAACTTGGTTAAAACCAAGTTCGCTATCCCGTGTAACGAACTTGGTGTCCACTAGAAATGTGACACGTCAGCAAACTGAGTTCGCTACACCGGATAGCGAACTCGCCCCCGTGACAGATTGAGAAATAAGACTGTTCGCATGACATTTAAGTAAAAAAGTTAATGAACAGTGAGATTTTGGTCACTGTTCCTCGTTCTGCCCTATGGCAAAATGTTTCATTGATCTAGTAACGGAATTCAACCACGACAATTTAGAAAATAATTTGGGGGTTGTGACACACATATATAAAGTGTTTATCATGTCTAAAGAAATAAAATTATCCCCTCTAATCTAAAACTACATCATTTTTTGGTTGGGGAAAAAGATACATAGGGCATTTAGAAATTTAACTTTTTTTTCATACAATATAATTTTCTTTTCTTTTTTCAAGTTGTTTTATATTTTTCTCCTAACTCCAAGATGTTAAGGTTGTATGATATAAATATACGGAATTATAAGAATCATGTTGCATAAATGGTACTATTCATTCATGTAATCATTTTTTAATTATATATTTCAGAAAATAAATAATTAAAAAAATAACTTTAATATTATAACTATATACTATTGGGAGTACATAGTTAAAAATGAGTTGCAGATCTGTAACAGAACATCCAATGCACCCATAAATATATCTCATAAAGAAACATTAATATATATAAATCACTTCCATTAAACCTTGACTAGCGAGGATGAGTAAGAATAATCCTTATACAGAGTCTTATTTTATATAATTGTAAATAAGCTATCTCTTAGATTCGAACTCGTGTCCTTTCAATCACAAAAGAATAATTTTACCATTATTTCTGCATCATCCTCTCATTAATATATATATATATATAATTTTATTTCATAATAAGTTATATTTTCAATTTTGATGGTTAATTAATTTTATTTCATAATAAGTTATATTTTCAATTTTGATGGTTAATTTTATTTATATCTAATTATATTTCGGAAACTGTCCTTAGTAAATCACATAAACCTTTGCTTTACGATGCTTTCTTATCCTGATAATGCGGGAAAAAGGGTGGTCAGTTAGTAGACAGAGGGAGAATATGGAATATTACTTAGTATTATCTTTGATTCCCCTTATGCATGTGTTTTCTCATTATCCTTTCTGCAGTTGAATATATAAAGTGATAAGGGAGAAGAGTACTATAGAGTATAGTGTGTGTGTGTGAGAGAGAGAGAGAGAGGAAGCAAAAGCATGGGAAGAGGGAGGGTGGTTCTAGAGAGAATAGAGAACAAGATCAACCGCCAAGTAACCTTCTCAAAGCGCAGGAGTGGATTGCTGAAGAAAGCTTTTGAGCTTTCTGTGTTATGTGATGCTGAAGTTGCCCTTATCATCCTTTCAAGCCGTGGCAAGATTTTTCAGTACAGCAGCACTGAGTAATTTTTCTTTCTTCCTCTTCTTTCCTTTTCTTTTGTTTATTTACCCCTACAAGCTTATCTCTTTTTTTTCTAACAGATCTTTATTCGAAAATTAATTGCGTACTAATCTTATATCAGATGAGAGTTTGTTGGCTATTATAGTGAATGTATAGTATGATTAACATTTTACAATTTAGTGTAGAATGAGATTATATTTATGAAAAAGGTCGACATAGGTTCCCAATAGTATTGTCTCCCAAATATATATATATATATATATATATATATATATATATATATCATTGACAAAGAAACAAAATTTTTAGATGGAGACAACTAGCTTAATTAAGCTGTATAGCTTGCATCTGGATGTTCGCTTAGATATGTGGTCAATATTGGACCAGCTAATTTATCATAATAAGAATTGTCTTTCACTGAATGTGAGAGGTGTAAACAAGTGTAAGTTTAATTTTGTAAACTTGTGCGAGAGAAGTATATAAATCATTGATTGGCCTTTATTTAATCGTAAGCTTTTGGATTGAATTGATTTTTTACATAGTATTAGAGCTTCGGTGTCACGCGTTCGATTCTCACCGGACTTGATGCATTATCCACTCTTCAAGTCCAATATGCTCTCTTGTGAGGAGACGTGTTAGAGATATATAAACCATTAAAAAGACCTTCACTCACCAGTTTAAACTTTTACGTTGAATTGGTTCTTTACATGGAATCAGAGCTTCGTGTCCCGGGTTCGATCCTCATTGTCCCCTATTTTTTTTTGTAGAATTTCTTTTCTTAGCACAGGTAAGTGGACCATGTTAAAAAAGTATATAAATGATTGACAGATCTTCACATCAACAATTTAAACTTTTGGATTGAATTGATTTTTTACGACTTGTTCAAAAAACAATAAATTAAGTTGCGGTCTTCTAGCTATTTACCGCACGGGTATGTATCAGGTTTATCATTGGACATACACTACTAGACTTATTGGTGTTTTTATTTTAAAAAGAAAAAAGAAAGAAAGAAAGCATTAGCTTTACGGATACTAATTTTGTATGTTTTAGTTTACAGAGATGTTATATCTATAATAAAATTAAAATTTCATGTAAATTTCATGTCATTTTCAATCCCTGCATGCACAGAGAATCAATTCGATCCCATACAAAAATGTGGTATACGAAGGATGAAAAGAATATTGATATATGGACCTTAATCGATAAGAAAAAGACTTAAACAAAAGCTTTTCCTACATGACCCAAATTATATATAAAATGTGTGTGCCTATATATATACTCTAAAAGTAATATACTTCAATTAAATTTTGCTTATAGATTGATGATCGAATATCTTCAAATAGACAATAAAATGAATAATAATATTCTTGCAAAATATATTTTAAATATTATAAAGTTATTTATTTTCTCTAGTTTTCTATCAATAGATATTAAAAATAGATAAATAAATTCGCTTAAGAAATGATGATTTTGTTTTCTTATATGATTTTGTTCATTCATACTCTCACAATTTTAAATATAATTTTCTAAACTGTCCTCGATTATATACGAGTTAAAGATAAAGATATAACTCATTAAGGTTTAAATTGAATAAAAAACTAATTAATTGATGGTGATTTAGAAAACCAATGAAAAATAATAATTTAAGCATAGATATTTGTAAATATTAATAGGCGCCCGTTTTTACCGTGTTAATACAATTTATGAGCAGCATACCCAAAAAAAAATTATGAACTATAATTGTAAGAATTATGTTAATTATACATAAAAATAAACTTGCATATGTATATATGATTTGTTTAAATCAAATCATTAATATTTATTTTTTTCACTTTGCTTTTTCTATTTTCCATTTATCAATACAAACTATGATGATATCCCTACGTGAGAGTATATGCATGAAAAATTATTTATTTATATTTAAATCACATGAATGTTTTAACTCTTAAAGTTTTGATCACATGTTCTTTTTGTTGGGAACTTAATTCTTTCAACTTGGCTGAAAAGTCTTTGCGGAAGTCAAACGTCGAGCTAGGAACTCGGCTCTTCAATCAGAGGTCGGGTTATATCATCAGGTCGGCCAGCGCAGCGAAAAAACAAAAAACAGATTGGAGAGAGACAGATAAGAATACTGACATATTTTAACAAGGGAAAACCTTTTCCAATATGAAAAAGTAAAAACCCACAGGACACTAGTCCAGAATCAAACTTTTACTATGAAAATAATGGGTTAGTAGAATCAAGCTTCACCAAGAATGATGGTACACTCAAACCTCACCTACAATGATGGTTTTATCTCAAACTTCCCTAGAGAGGTCTTACTCTTCTAACTTCCCTCTAGAGGTGCTCTCAAAATCAAACCTTTAGGCTTTTCTCACAAAACCCTCAAAAATCTCTGAAGCTAACCTATCCTCCAACCCACAACTAATGCTTTTATAGAGGAGGAAGAAGGTTTAGGGTTTAGGATTTTTTCAAACCCCTCAATGGGCTTTGGGCTTAGAATTAAGAAGGAAGCCCAACAGATCTCCCTCTTCCGACTTTAATGTGTCGGCTTCAGTAGTAACCCAGCACCTTCATAGTGTAACACCCCGTGTATACCTGGTTTGTTAACATGTCATCGATTAACCCACGCTTAATTACATGCGGAATAACTTTTTCTTTTCAATTATGACGTCATTATCAATTACCAAGTTGATTACTTAATCACTTTTAAAAATATTGCCTGTATGTAAATTGCAAATAGACAGCTAGCTACACTGAATAACCTCATAAATATAAATATGTGAGTATCTAAGTCACGGATCTACAACACGTAGCCCGGACAGAATCCTGATACATTAATACAACTCGAAACTAAAATAAGACATAGTCAATCAATGTGGCATGGACAACCCCATACTCACCAAATAAGGCAACAAAGCCCAACCGCAGTCTCAACAACAGCAACATGACAATAACTATAAAGCAGGTCTGCATCCAAGCATTATCCAAGCATATCATCATAAAGCACAATCTCAACTCAGCTCCGGCCTCCTGCCGCCAGAGGTCTCAACCCCCGAGTTACCTGAACCTGAAATATGTGCCCCAAACGTGAGGTGAGATCTCTAAACAGAAATCTCAGTAAGACTAGGGGTCCTTAAGGATTTCTCCACCCCAAGCTCACTTACATGTGCAATATAAGTTCAAAAGCAGTAATATAATATAAGTTCCAAAATCAGTGCAATGCAGCAGAATAATCATGTCATGTGTGTCAACTATTCTACTGGCCAGAGAAATGCAGGGTTTACATATGTCTATTACCTACAATCAGTGTAAGTCACTACTTGCACCCACCCACAGAATCACCCTATGGTATGTCTCTCACATACACAGGCTTACCGTCTAGGTGGAGCAACACATGCATATTATAAGCACTTGCACATAACAGCTCAACAGCATTTCATATATAAATACATAAAAACACATGATGCATATAAACCATTCCCCCATGGTACAGTTCCCATGATACAGTTTTGTCTACACAGAACAATCACTGTCTCGAAATTCCCAGAATATCTGGATATTTTTCGGGGACATATCCGGATATTCATATCCGGATATCACAAGTCCCATATCCGAATATCAATATCAGGATATTTACAACCCCATATCAGGATATCAATATCCGGATATTGTAACACCCGTGTATACCCGGTGTTGTCTTTTTTTGTTCAATTATGACGTCATTAATCTTAGCTAAGTTGATTATTTAATCAATTTCATAAAAATATCGCCTGTATGTAAATTGCAAAGACAGCTAACTGAAATGCCTCAATATATAGATAAAGTGAGTATCTATGTCACAGGACTACACCACGTAGACTGGACAATATCCTGATACATTATTACGACTCATAACTAAAAACAAGACATCGTCACTCAATGTGGCATGGACAAACCTCATGCTCACCAAATAAGGCAACAAATCATAACAGCAGTCTCAACAACAACAACATAATAATAACTGAAGCTAAAAGCATAAAAGCAACAGGCATATCCAGCATCCAACATGTCAGCAATTAACAGCAATATCTAACTCAGCTCTGACCTCCTGCCACTAGAGGTCTCAACCCCTGGGTTACCTGAACCTGAAATAAGCGTTCCCAAACATGAGGTGAGATCTCTAAAAAAGAAATCTCAGTAAGACAAGGGGTCCTCAAGGATCTTTCACCCCAAGCTCACTTACATGTGCGATATCAGTTCAAAAGCAGTAATTCCAATATAAGTCCAAAACTATGCAGTACAACAGATATTCATGCCATGTGTGTTATCACTATTCTACTGGACAGAGAAATGCAGGAATACGTCTATTACCTACGGTTAGTACAAGGAACACCGCTTGCACCTCACCCACAGCCTCATTCTATTGTATGTACCACACACTCAGGCTTACCATATAGGTGGAACACCACATGCATATCATAAAGGCACTCGCATATAACAGCTCAATAGCATTTATCCAAAACAATACATGAAAACAACATCATGCATATAAACCATCCCCCCATGGGACATGGTGAACCAACAATGGCTAAACCGAGGACACGAAAACTTACCTTGCAAGCTAAGTACCCAATGCCAAGAGTTCACATAGCTCAAGTCCAATACACAGCAGAATCACAATCTGTTTTGGACCAACATTATATCAATAACCATACTCTTAAAGCACACAATAAAGACAACACCTTTTTCTTTACGTTTTACGTCCTTAGGCTTCTCACAAAGCCACAAGCCCTAAAACACATAGGTTCTGACTTAGTTAATTAATACAGAAGTTCAACTTCATCAAACTTGGGTCCACAAACCCCAAACATCAGTTCTGGATGAACAGTAGGCCACTGTTCCTCGAAAACCCAGAATATCCGGATATTTGTCGGGGACATATCCGGATATCAATATCCGGATATCATATCCGGATATCCATATTCGGATATCAAAAGACTCTGAATCCGGATATCCATT